CAGGTGTTCTTAATCACTTCAATCAATGGGAGGGTCTAACCTGCAGGTGTGACATGTGAAGTAATGAACTTGTTCTGAAATAAGTAATTAATATGTGCAAAATATGATCACTTTTGAAAAGTTATGTGTTATGAAAGTAATATTTTACTATATTTTTAGACATTGTTTTATATTGCTGTGGTTAGTTAATAAAAAAAAACACTTCCCCCACCCCCCAAAATAAAAGCACTGATGTGATATCGACTTCGATATCAAGCTCAATATCAAAGTCCAAGTACCACCCACCCCTCACTGAAAGGAACAGTCTGAAGATGTGAACTGACAGAAAGAAAAAAAATTAAATAAAGGATTTTGTCAAAATGCAGAAAAATAAAACAAAAAACCCTTTCTGCTCACAGAACAACAACCGTACAACACCCTAAAATTTGTCTTATTTTGGTTCTTATTGAGAGAAATGGAGGCAATAACAGACATGTATTCAATAAAAGAGGTTTATTTGGCCAAAAGTCACATGACGAACTTGCAAAGCCTTCATACAACTCATTTATGGACACATCTTTCTTGTTTTTTAATCCCCGTTTCTAAAAGGAACCCTAACCCAACTGCCTGAAGACAAAAACAAAAACGTTCGCTGGCTCTTGTGTCCTAAATGGTGACTGCTCACCCCGCCCTGCCTCATGACACAGAGTAACATCTGGATTTTAGTGTTTCTGTCATGGGAGTCTTGAATAAAGAAGACAAGTGGAGACAGCACCTTGTTGGATGACTCTCTGAGGAGGAGTTTTAACATCTGAAGTCATGTTCCTGTCTTCACAGAGATCTCATGACCTCACCGATGGTCGGGAAGCTCTCCTCTGTAGAGCCTCGGGGACGTCACTGAGGCGGCGGCGGGGGTGGGGGGTGTCAGGTATCTGTGCCTGGAGTACGCAGTGAGGTGACGTTGACCTTTAACCTTCCGGGAGCAGCTGCTGCCCAGCTCCACTGACTCATGATCAGCAGGGAGGAGGAGGGGAGGGTGGGCCTTTCTGGGACTGCGTGACCCTCATAGCTGCTGAACTGCACGTCTCTGTGTGGGAGTCATTCTTGGAATCAATTTAGGCCTGAGTCACTTTACAAGAAAATCATGCTGATTTTGGCCCTTCCGACAATCTTAAAGAGTATTTCACCCCCCCCACCATGAAAGATAACTCCGCCCCGAGGCGAAATTTGAAAAATACATCAAAGTGGGTAGGGGAGGGCGTGTGGGTAGGGGAAGGGGGGTTAGAGAGCGGAGGTGTGGCCAGGACGAGAGAACGTGACAGACAGCTAGCATTAGCGTAATTGATGCTACATGGAGAGTGACCACAGTATCGCAGATAGTTACATCTCTGAACGGTCTGAGAGGGAGGATTTTCACCCCACACCAGCACCGGACAGAGGAGGAGGAGCGCTCCGACAGCCTGACAGAAAAAAATAAAAGCATACAGCTGCAGCTGCTCACAGGATCGCTAGTTTAAATCAGGAATAAAAGTGTTGGGTCTTGTTTGACTGAAGTTCGGTCCGGTTCGCGACCTCCTTGGACGTTTTACCTGTATAAAGAGCCCTAAAAATCCATAAATTTTGCAAAAAGTCCATACAACGCGCACCGGGGGGGTGGGGG